TTGTGGCCCTATAACTCACCCTTCACTTTAACTTATAGAAAAGTACCTAGGGCGTTTTAAGAATGTTTTAATGTACCCTTTACATTACAAACTGTCGCTTTTGAATATAGTTAAATAAATGTTTTGAACAGCCAGCTATTTCTCATTTTTAAGTTGAAAGTTTGGTTTACATTAACTTTTCATCTTTTGCATGATTTGGTACTATCAAACTAGGCTGGCTTATTCTGCAGTAGCAAAATACCTTTCACAATTGAGAATTAAATGTTGTTCTGCAAAGTCATGGGACCCTGGTGTCCTGAGATCATAATTTTACCCCAGTGACTGGAATATTGCTAATAAAACTGAAAGGAACAGAAAAGCCCAACAGAACTTGACTGGAACCCTGTGGTCAAATGCTTGGTGCTTTAGATGAAATGTGGCCTAGATTGAATCAGAAAAACCTTAAGCCCAAGAATCATTATTTAGGAATTCAATATTTACATGGCTCAGATAGGATAAAAGTAACATTCCATGTCCCCCACCACTAGGAATAGGCCCCACAATCACTTCAAAACTATATAGGTCCCATTTTTCTTGAATTTGATACTTGCTGTTTTGTTTTCTAGGTCTTTCTGCAGGTTTCATGGTTCTTATCTGCTTGGTTAGTGTCACCTTGTACATAATATTAAAACACAGAAAATAGTAAGTTCATTGCACGCTTCACCAAAGCACAAAAGGTTTTGGCTCCTTCAGCCTTAGGGAGGATAATCGGGTGAAGTCTTACCTAGTCTCAGGTTCTACTGGGGAATGACTAAGTCACGTCACCCCAAACATGTAACCCACAAACTCCAGCAAATTTTCTTTAAAATACCAAGTCACCAAGTGCCATCTGCTTACATTGATCACAGTTATATGATACCTACTGTAGGCATCAAACAAGAAAGGGTTGCATTGAAATTATGCAACGGTGGCACCTATGAACTGAGTAGTTTGTTCTAAGTCCGATTGGGCCTGAGCACAGCACGGTCTACAGTTGGGATGTACTTTAGGCTGTCGTGTTTCCCAGAGGATGGTGTTGTGAATGAATTCAGGAGAAAGGGCATTCTGTGACAAAGTAAGATTGGGAAATACTGCATACTGTGTTTTTCTCATGAGGATTCACAATCAACAAAAGAATAATTGAAGTCCTATAATACAAAAGCCAGTTTCATGTTTTTTAAGCCAGTGTTTCCCAAACTAATTGGATTACACAATTCTATTGTTTTGTTTTTTCTTCTCACATAATACTTTTAACAACCCTTGGGACTAATATTCCATTTCATAGACATTTGGGAAATCTAGGAAGGTGGTTAGGAGCTAGATTATCAAAAGCCTTCAGGCCATAACAAGGAATTAGGGTGTAACCTATAGGAACTTAAGCAAGCAAAAAAATATATTCAGCCCAGCCAGTGTGGCTCAGTGGTTGAGCATTGACCTATGAACCAGGAGGTTTGATTTCTGGTGAGGGCAAATGCCCAGTTACGGTCTTGATCCCCATTGTGGGGCATGTAGGAGGCAGCCGATCAATGATTCTCTCTCATCATTGATGTTTCCATCTCTCTCTCCCTTTCCCTTTCTCCCTGAAGTCCATAAAATATATTAAATTTGTTTTTAAATATATTCAGATTCGCAATTTTTAAGAGAAGGGGCAGGGTTGGGCCATCAGCTGAAGCAGCAGTGGCAGGGATCCAGAGGATGGAGCAGGTGCAGGACGCATCTTCACTGTTGAGAGCCTAGGATTTCCAGGACTGAGTGTCGTGTGGAAAGGAGGGAAAAGGGGGCACAGAGAACGAGCCAAGTGGAGGTCACTTGATGGTCCCAGTGTTTCACCAAAAGAGGGAAAGGGCAGGTTTGTGGGGAAAGATGATGAGTTCAGTGCTGACTTTGCCACTTTGTGGCACTGGAAACCGATCCCGGAAGGACAGTAATGCTTAAAAGGCAGGAGGGGAAGGAGCAGTCAGAAGTAGGAGAAAAGTTAAGAAACAGCTGTTTCACACAATTCAAGGGAGAAAAAGTCTCAAGAAAAAAATAGGGATGTCATTTGCATGGCTTTTCCTTGAAGGAAGTTAGAAGATAACTTTAGCCAAGAGTAGTTATACATTTAAATAAATAGAGAATGTGGTTTCTTATGTCTTTTCTATCTCCTAACTTTGCTCTCAGAACATCTCATCTGAGAAAAATTTCCAAACTTTGGGAATGCCTGAAAGCTCATTTGAATTGTTTCTATTGATGATAATTAAGTTTATTAACATGATTATATCAATACTGGATATAAGTGCCTATATTGATATGAACCAAATATGTTACATTAAATTGCTTAGCATCACTCTCATTTTACTTCTACTTTCTAACCCACTTCAATTTCTTTTCTGATAGTTGATACAAACATTTCAATCACCTTAATGACTTTTTGTAAATGAGATGAATAATCATTTAAACATGGGTGTTTAGTAACAACACTAAATATTTATAAAAGCTATCTAACATTTGAAGAAAAGACTGCTAACTTTTTCTAGCCACGTAAGATATTTTAATATAATCTGAACATCATAACTAAAAAGTACCATTTTTTATATTCTTAATATATTATTTATCATTTTACCTCTTAAATATGGTAGTTGGGGACATTCTGTAAGTAACCCTAGAAGTAAGTTTTCTTTCCCAGTAATTTTGTAATACTTTATTGCAGAGTTCTACATGGTAGGATTATCACATTTTCTTGTCTTTTGCTAATTTTAGTAAACTGGTTTTAGAAGCAAAGTAGATATGCCGTCAAAGAGGGGGGGGGGAAATCATTTAAAGGTTTAGTCATGTAGGACCATGTAAGGATTTTGAATTAAATATCCAATATAAACATTTTCTTTTAAGTTAGATTGGGAGATTGTGTCCCAAGTAGGTAAATGTATGATCACATCTTAAAATAAAAGCTTCTTTTGTTTTTGTTTTAAACTGGGGGCCATAGTTATTGGCCATTTAGAGTTCTCGGTCTGAGATAAAGCTGTGTAATGTCAACTTCTGACCTAGACACTTAATAGCCTAGCAAATTATTTGTTTTTATGGGCCTTTCCAAAATTGGGGATTATAGTGATTATTTCATAGGCTACTTAGGAAAATAAAATGGACTCATCCCTGAAAAGTGCTTACCATGTGTTGAGAATTATGGAAAGAAAACAACTGCTATATCTTTACAGCAATTATGGCAGGAGTAAAAATTTTACTTTTTCTTCCTTCTTCCATTTAGCAATTATAGACATAAAAGCCTCATAGAAGAAGATTTTCATTTAGAGACACGAGAAGTATATTCTGTTGATCCATACAACCCAGCAAGATAACCAGAAGGTACATGGATATCTAATGAAATTGAAATATTTTATTAATTTCTATGTAAAAATGTCCTTTTCATACTTATCAAAAAGCATAATGCTAAGTTTGTATGGTTCCACTGCACAGATTTTAAAATCATGCATATAGCCCTACATGGTTTGGCTCAGTGGAGAGTGTTGGCCTGCAGACTGAAGGGTCCTGGATTCAATGTCAGTCAAGGGCACATACCTGGGTTGTGGGCTCGATCCCCAGTAGGGGGCGTGCAGGAGGCAGCTGATCAATGATTCTCTCCCATCATTGATGTTTCTCTCTCCCCCTCTCCATTCCTCTCTGAAATCAATAAAAATATATTTAAAAAATAAAATAAAATCATGCATATAAATCGTGAATTTACCTATGTCATATTGTCAACTAATTAATTCCCTGTTTTTTTTAATATAGTCAAGCAACAAATATTTAAGAGTAAGGAGGAAATCAAACTAAATGTTTTTAAGAGTGGAGAAATGACAGCTATGTTTCAATTCCTGTGTGCTGATAAGAATGATCTGGGAGAAAGTGGGAAAATACTGGGAGGGAAGGAATGGCGGAATGGCTGGAGCTGTGTCTGGGTATGCTAGAAGGAAAAGAGTCTAGTGCTAAAGCAGGGAGCTGTGTCTGGGTACGCTAGAAGGAACAGAGTCTAGTGCTAAAGCAGGGAGCTGTGTCTGGGTACGCTAGAAGGAACAGAGTCTAGTGCTAAAGCAGGGAGTGTAGACCTGAGGTAGGAGTGTGGCCTTGGGAACCAGAGGGAAAGCAGAACATGTGGGTGCAGATGAAGGCAGCTGGGGAGATGTGGTGGTGAAGGCATCTGTGGAAGTTCTCTTCTGACGATTCTGTTCCCACAGTGAATAGAAAATACAATGATCAGCCGATAAGAAGGTTGGGAAAGGAGATGATAGGGATTTAAGGAAAAAGGAGGCATTAAATAGCCGCCATGCATTGGCAGGCAGCATCAAGGATCCCTGTGGTTGTCAGGAGAACATGGGAGTGAACACTTGAAGGTTTACTATACCCAGGCATTATCCTGAGAGTCGCTCATGCCTTATCTTATTTAGCCCTGACTACAACACTGAACAGTAAGGAGTGTCCCAAGATAATACCAGGGTAAGCACATAAAACCCAAGATAAGAAAGCCAAGGTTAAACATTTCTCTTGGCCAAGGTTTTGGGGTCAGTAAGAGGCAACGATAGAATTCAAGCTCAAATATGTCTTATATGCTTTATTGTATATAATCTGTAAGGTAAAGATACCACCTCTATCTTCTTAGAGCTTATTTTAGTTTATAAAATATATTGACACACATATAACATACATATCAGGGAATAAGGACATACACCATGAACAAGATGCAGAAGAACTGCTGTGGCAATGGGGAAAGAAATGTTGGCTTGCTGCCGGTGCGTCATAGGAAAAGCAAAGAGAAGAGGGGAGGCCATGCTAGCGTGATCTCTAAATCCAACCCTGTAGGGATCCAAAGTAAAGCCATTACATCAGTATCTATTCAGTGAATGTGTGAATCAAGGAGAATGAGACCGTTGCTTCAGCTTCTCCCGCACTTTTATTCGTATTTATCAATCTAAAATTTGTTAATTGCTCCATGTCCTATTCTCTGAGAAGGACCTCTTAATGGGATAATATTTTTGAATAGGCTCGATGCTTTATTGGTTATAGTACTTGCAATTGGTCTGTACAGAGAATGTTAACATTCCCATTATTTAAACTTTGATTTGTACCAATGCTGCCTCCTAACCAGGAACTCTCATTTCAGTGTGCCTTCTTGCTTGGAATGCAGCTGAACACGGGTTGGAAAGAAACCATTTGAATATCAGCAAGCCTATCTGTATGGGCTCCCCATCACCGAAATGATGCCTTAAGCTGTACCTTCCTATTTGCACTTATTCTCAAGCAGGACAAGGAATGTTTGCCTGATGAGAAAGATGGGAGCCCAGTGTCACTGCCACCTGCTCTTCAAGGACTTTCTGAAGCCTCGCCTGTGATGTGCCTGGAGCCGGGCTTTGGCTATCAGCGGTTACATACTAGTAGCTCTGAGGAGTCACCTTTTCTAGGAAGTCACTAAAGTGAACTGTTTTTATATGCGGACTCTTCCTTTTTTATAATCAGCATACTTACTGTTACCACATACTTTTGGTTACAGTGTGGTTTTAATTATTTAGTCATAGAATGAAGGATTTCCTGTGGTTTTCATGGGCATACCTTTATAGAGGAGTCTGATTTTATTTTAATAGTGGTTTTTCTTCTCAGATAGAGTTAAACATTTCACTCTAATTTCCACTTGGTTTCAGGTTTTCTCACACTATATACTTTGTGTTTCCATAATCACTCAGTAATTCCAACTCAAACAAGTTTTTTCTTTTAATTATGGGAGTGAAATTTTAATTCCCAAGTTTTTGTGTACAATTGAATCTTTGGATATATTCTTGGTGCTTTTGTCAGAAGATCTGGTTGCTTGTAAAATGTCATTTCAAATACATTTTATCTTTAAAAAAATACCTTGTGTGATTCTTTATGCTGTTGGGATTTTGATAGGGATTGCATTTCTTCTTCAGATTGCTTTAGGTAATACAGATAGTTTAACAATGTTGATTCTCCCAATCTGTGAAGATGAAATGTCTTTGCATTTATTTGCATCTTCTCCAGTTTCTTTCAAAAATGTCGTATAGCACTGGCCAGCGTGGCTCATGGGTTCTTCTTCCTGTGAGGACCTCAGGTTAAGGGGCAGACATTAGCTCCACTCCGTAGGTCAGCTTACAATACCCGATTTAGGAAAGTTTTCCATGCCGACACCTGCAGCTCATTCCTTTTAGAGACAACTCCCGCTTTGTTCCTGCTAGTGTCTAAAATTATTGTAATCATCATCTTTCAGAAATTTCCCAGGATTTGGCACATCCTTGCTGGTGGAGAATGGGCAGAGACATGTTAAATGCAGTTGACAGCGACACCCACTTATTTCACCCAGTATTTAATAGGTATTCATTATGCACCTACTACAGGCTAGAACAGCCTGGGCACTGGAGAAAAAGCAAGAAAACTCTACCCTTGCCTCATGTATCTTGTCCAGAAAACTAGGCAACATGGCTCAGAACATATCAATTGGAGCCTTAAATGGGTCAAATCAAAGTAAGTTAAAGAAATCAAGGTGAATGTCTTCCGTTATATTAAGAATGGCTTGATGGACACCAGGTGTAGAAATTTCACTGGTTGAAAGTTCCAGTAAAACCCCAGGCCTTTAATCTAGCACCTGTAACTAGGTTACCAAACTCAAGCCGTACCTTTTCCCTATCCTTTAAATTTTCTAACAAGAACAAAACTTATTTCCAAGCCTCGAAGTAAATGGGAAAGGTTTTTTTTTCCAGCTTTATTGAGATATAATTGACACAGAGCACTGTGTCCAGATGATTGTAGAAAACAGTAAATACAAGGGTGGGCAAAAGTAGATTTATAGCTGTGAGTACACAAAACACCCTTGGGACTGGATAAAAAGTAAAATAAGACACGTCCTTCTTTTACTTAGGTGAGTGCAGGATGGTTAGTAAATAAACAGTGAAATCGTCTTGGTGAATTTGAAATCTCACAGGCTTCGATGGGACTCCGCAGCAGACATTCAACCACGGACACCTCCGGTGTTGTCCCTAATAATGCCTCGTTCGGGCAAAATTTGAGCAAGAGCCCTGGCACTGCTGACCTCCTGGAGGCCCCAGGACAAAAGCGGAGCCCTAAGGGGTGCTGGCCTCTAGGCGGCCCACTAGGCTCTGGGTTCCTATTTTCAGGCCGATGCGCTTTATTCTTTTTTTTCCGGGAGTTCCCATGGCTCATTTTTCTTTCCAGAGCTCCCCACAACGTGTGCCCACCCGCCCAGGCGGGCGCCGGCCCCGCCCTGCCCCGCACGCCCCGCCGGGCACGCCCACCCGCGGCTGCTGACAGTGAGTCCAGCGATTGTTGCGTCTGGTGCCCGCGGTCGGGAAGGTGAGTGCACGCTGCCCCCGAGGGTTCCCGCGGGCCTCCCGCAACATGACCCGGTCCTGCGAGCCGCGCAGGGCACCTCCCCGCCCCCCCGAGAGTCCCTCTTCTTCTTGGTGCTTCGTGGGGATCACTTTGGTGACCCTAGTGCTCCACTTACCCCCAT